AATAATTTGATACTGACTTCAACTTATTTTACTAGGGAGTCTTGGTCCACAATGGAAAAGGAAAAATTATACTACAATCTTCATTGGTAAATGCTCCTCATGTACTCGAGTAATTTTTTTTTTTTTTTAAAGAAAAAAATGTTCAGATGAAAAAGAAAGAAAAAAATGGTTGAAGAAATACCTCAGTATCAAAGCGGACAGTGCAGGTGAAAGATTTTCCAGTGTCAGTTGTGACAGTTACATCTTGGCCAGGCCTTATATCAGTGATTTTGCTTGGAAGGTCTATAGTATAACGCTCCTGACCAGTCAATCTAAGAGTGTCAGCATCCTCACCATGCTTGAAACAAAGAGGAATGATGCCCATTCCCACCAAATTACTGCGATGGATTCTCTCAAAACTTTTTGCTATCACTGCTTTTACTCCCTGTTGCACAACAGAATTACCCAGGCGCAAATCAACTATATGATCTTCTGCAGTAAAAAAAAAGAAAAAGAAAAAGAAAAAAAAAAGACCAGGCATATGTAAACATCAATATATATAAATAGGATAGATATATTTACCAATAACATTGGACCCTTGGCAGCCCAATCTCGTGAGCTACCACTTCCATACTCTGCTCCAGCCAAAATAATAGTGTCCTGTCCAGCAGCCTTGTACCTCTGAAATAGCATATTGATCACAAAGCTTAGTAACTGAATAATGCAAACTGCATTAAAGACTTTCATTATCTTTCCCCGTAAGGTATTGAACTCACCATTGCTGCATCAAATACATAGAGTTTCTCCCCTGTTGGAATGTGAACTGTCTTTGGGCCCACTTCACCACTCAAGAGCTTATTTACAAGGCGGATGTTTGCAAAAGTTCCTCTAGCCATCACTTCATCATTGCCACGGCGACTTCCATATGAATTGAAATCCTTGCGGTCCACCCCACGCTCAAGGAGGTACTTGGCAGCAGGACTGTCTTTATGAATGCTTCCTGCTGGAGAAATGTGATCTGTTGTGATGCTGTCACCAAAGTTCAGCAAGCAGTAAGCATCCTTCACTCCATGAGGTCCAGGAGGGTCCATGGTCATGTTCTTGAAGTATGGGGGCTCATGGATGTATGTTGAGTTGGGGTCCCATGAGCACAAGGATTCTGATGGTACTGATACTAGATTCCACGTAGGATTGCCCGTTGTAATAGCTTCATAAGTACTTTTGAACATATTAGGCAAGACACTGGCTTGAACAACCTTAAAAGTAGACATCCCAAAATTAATTTAATATGTTTAAAGACAGATATAACTGGAAAGTTATTAAGTTACACAAATATTAGAAGACAGACCTCTGCAACTTCCTCTGTAGATGGCCAGATATCCTTGAAATAGACACTCTTTCCATCCTTCCCAATACCAATAGGCTCCTTGTCAAAGTCAATGTCAACCTTGAAAATAGTTGCATGTCATCTATCTTCACATTAATCAAACCAATCTAGTAAAGTAATGCAAAGAATAGCAGAAATATTGACTCCTAAATAACTTTTTACATTGTCTGTCCTACAAAAAAACAGGAAATGACTTCCACACGTAATTTACATATAGCATAAGAGCATACATAAAAACTTTTAAAACATGATTAGATCCTTATAAGGCTAGCATGCTTCAGAATGTTGGTAATACCGATGACACTAAGTTGACCTAGCAGTTGTGGAACTGCAACCACTGTGGTCATAATTTATAACATTTAAATAACCTAGACATAATAATACCGCTAGAAACATTTCTCAAGACCAACACAAGTGTCCTTAGCTAAATAAAATGAGATGCCCTTCTTGGGACAGATCTAGCTGACCAGATGCCAGCAAGCCAGCACCCCAATGTAGGATCACATTATTCCAAGAGATGGATAGAGTACACTTGAGAAAAGGATACCACTGTAATTACAAAATAACAGGCATGCTTGTAATATAACACTAGCAATAATCCAGATGCAAAAGAGTCACTTAGAGGACAAGAAACTGCAAAAAATTCCACAAGTACTAACGTCCATGTGTTACCGTTAATCTTGCAATGATGGTAACTATACCCCGTAAAGCGTTAACAGAATCAAACATTCACTACATCAATTATCATTTACCGTGCCAGCAAGGGCATAAGCAACCACCAATGGAGGTGAAGCAAGGTAGTTAGCTCTTGTTAAGGGATGAACACGACCTTCAAAATTCCGATTCCCAGAAAGCACAGCTGCTGCTACAATGTCTGTAAGCAAACCAGAAAAAATATTCTTAAAAAGTGAGAATGATAAAGAAAGTTGGCAAAGAAATCTGATCAATGCAAATCACACAATATACAACTATTTAAAAGCAAATATCAAATCCAGACAAGATGCATATTCAGGCAATATTTCTAGAATACCATTTTCTGCAATGGCAGAGGCAACTGATTCATTCAAATCCCCTGAATTTCCAATACAGGTTGTGCAGCCATATCCAACAATGTGGAAGCCCTGTTGGTTCAAATACTCTTGTAACCCACTGCACCATGCCAACTCAAAATCAGACAATAATACTTTGTAAACATGGAAATAACTATGATAAACCATGTCAACTCAAAATCAGACACTAATATCTATGTCTTTAGGAATACCTCTGCTGTAAATATTTTGTAACAACACCCGAGCCTGGTGCAAGACTTGTCTTTATCCAAGGTTTGACCTGTGATCAACAATTTAAGCAATTCATTTTGTAAATTAATCTTTGCATTCCTTAAGTTGAAAGGAAACAGAATGAGAACAAGCTAGCTTGCAAGGGTTTCTTTCTCTCTTCCTTTAATCAAAATTTAAAATCTTTGGACTCAATGGGGTAAAGAAGTAGAAAAAGAAAGGAATGGAAGACAGAGGGAAGATGGAAGGGAGAGAGCTGCAGAGACACATGCTAAACTAATTATCTCAAACCTGTAAACCAAGTTCACAAGCTTTTTTTGCAACAAGACCAGCCCCGAGCATGACACTAGGGTTTGATGTATTGGTGCAGCTCGTGATTGCAGCAATAACCACACTGCCGTGCTTAAGTTCTGCTGGCTGCCCATGGAATGAAAACTTTGCCATTTTGTGCTGTTCCTCTTTTGGTACAGCAAAACCCTGCATTGCAGTCACAAATAAAGAAAATTTTTGAATGTTTCAGAAAAGTAACTATTTCTGAGAGATACAAGTGTCAAATTCGTAATCAATCTGCATGAGTTCTAAATATTAATTTTCTTGTGTTTTACACATAAAGACTTACATAGCTATATGTGGCATGCATCTTGCAACTACCTAAGCCAAATAAAAAATGAAAAGAAAAAAATGCCCAGGCAATATAACTTAAAAAAATAAAATAAAAGTTGTAACACAATTTATTCTAATTTTAAAGAGTGAAATAGATCATGATTCATTATTGAACCTGAAAATAAAAAGAATTCAGATAAGCCAAAAAGACTCACCTTGAAACCAACTTTGTTATCAAGACATGAATGCCAGTCTACCTTCATTTCTTTCAAAGGGACCCGATCGTGAGGTCTAACAAGAAGAAGCAGTTATTATTGAGTTTAAAAATCATCAGTACAAATAAATAAATAAGATTAGAAGAAAAGCAAGCCAAATAATGCCTTGATTGAACAGACAAGAAAAATAAAGCTGCCACAGAGCACACCTCTTTGGTCCTGAAACACAGGGCTCAACATCTGCAAGGTTTAGTTCTAGATATGATGAGTACACTCTATCTTGCTGAGGCTGAATATAATGGATCAGAGATTAGGGTGAGACCAAACAAAAGAAAGAGAAACTATATTAGGTTTGAATGTCAAAATTGAGAATGCAAAAACAATAATAAAGGAAGGAAAGTTCTACCTCATTATAGTCAATAAACATTTTATTTGCACGGAGATATGCTTCTACCATTGCCACCTAAAATTATGGACAATAGTGACTTAGTCTCTCATGACCTTCCAGATTGCAGAAAATCAGTTATAAAATAAAATCGTAAGACTCACAGTTTCGTCACTTCTGCCAGTTAGTTTGAGATACTGTAAAGTAACATGATCTACAGGGAAGAATCCCATGGTTGCACCATACTCAGGAGACATGTTAGCAATGGTAGCCCTGTCGGCCAAAGAAAGTTCACTCATACCATCCCCTACAACCATAAAAGAAAGAGAAGAAAAATAAACAAGTTATAAGTATAAGGGGAATAAGAGAGTCCTACTTGCAAATTTTACTTTAGTTCAGTTCAAAGAGAATATAAATACCATAAAACTCAACAAATTTGCCAACAACACCATGCTTCCTCAGCATTTGTGTCACAGTTAGAACCAAGTCAGTAGCTGTAACCCCACTGTGTAACTTCCCAGACAACTTGAATCCAACAACACCAGGCAATACCATACTCATGGGCTGTCAACATTGAATGACATTACATTAGAAGCATCGAGAATGCTATAATAAGTACATTTAGAGAATTTTGAAAGTTCATCCTTGTGCTTTCTCAGAAATTTATTGAATTATTATCAAGTAAAGAGGTCACAATGTACAAGAGTAAGGGAAAGAAAAGAGAGTGAAAAAAACATCAAATGGGGGTTGCAAGATAAAGACTAGACTAGATCTAAACATATTTGCATCCTCTACCAATATGAGTTAGAAAAATGATCAGTGCTTTCATGTTAACCCCAGGTTCACTTCAAACTGTCCACTTAGCATGTGGCAAGGAAACATGATTGGGAGTCAATTCAGTGGTAGCAGAACCTTGTTAAACAATAGTTAGAGGCCTAACTATAAACATTAAGTCATCAAGAACTAACTGTACAGAATAGGAACCTAATTCATAATTTTTCCACACAACAGTTACCTGGCCAAGCATTGCTGCCTCAGCTTCAATACCACCAACTCCCCAGCCAGCAACTCCCAACCCATCAATCATGGTCGTATGGGAATCTGTTCCGACAACACTATCAGGGTGGAGTACACCATCAGTGTTGAAAACAAGCCGTCCAAGATATTCCAGATTAACCTAAAATTCCATTACCAACTCATTTTACCATCAATCTATGGGAATTTAACAGTTGAAAATTGTTTTTATTTTGCAATACTGCATTGTGTTCATAACCATACCTGATGAACAATACCAGAACCAGGAGGGACAACAAGCATGTTACGGAAAGCAGTAGAACCCCATTTAAGGAATGCAAATCTCTCCTTGTTCCTCTGAAATTCAAGCTCCATATTTGCTTGCACAGCATTCTCTGATCTTGCAACATCAACTTGAACTGAATGATCAATGACAAGATCTACTGGGACCTGCATGCAAAGTGTTAAAACAATAAATGGCAAGGAAATACCCAGAAAAAAATTTCAAGAATAATACGGACAGTTTCAGAGAGAGAGAGAGAGAGAGAGAGAACCATCAAGCACACTAAGAGTTATCACCATCTAAGAGAAATATTAGTCCCATATGCTAAAAACAAGCTACAAGCTGCTATTATTTTCCAAAATGTAAAGCAATGAATCACCAATCCTAAGAAGTAAGGAAGATGGATGGCAATGTGTCAGTTTCATATTATAACACCAAATGTGGATGTAAATGATTAAAATGGAACTCACCAAAGGATTGATCTTGTTTGAATCACTTCCAAGCTTGTTCATAGCGTCACGCATGCAAGCAAGATCAACCACAGCTGGTACTCCAGTAAAATCCTGGAAAAGAAAAGAATATTTTAAAAGATGAAGCTGTTTTTATTGTAACAACGCCATAAACGTATGAACTTAAGTATCAAATACCTGTAAAAGAACACGAGCAGGCTTGAAAGGAATTTCAACTTGCTTTGGAGATGTATTTTCCCAATCAATGATCTTCTCAACATCTTCCTTTTTGACTTGGAAGTTATCACAATTCCGGATTGCAGACTCAAGCAGGATCCTAATAGAGTATGGCAGTTTATCTATAACACATACAACAGAAGCAAGGAGCATACACTATTAGTTACATTGCATGCCTGAAACAAATTTCCCATTGAATAGATATTATATGTTCTATGGAATACAATATCTCTACTGAATTTACCAAGTTTAAAATCATACTTTTGTAACTTTTGTATGACATTTTAGAAAACTTACCAATCCTTGGATCATTCAAAGCAGGCAAGCTGTAGAACTTTCCAAACTCGCCACCACCTGGCTTCGGAAGACTGGTCAAGACTGCCTTGAAAGGATGTTCAGCAGCTGGAATCATAAAAGAAAAGCACTCGTTAATTCAGGTAAGACAGATAAAGGAATCAAGTTTGACTAATTTAAATCCAGTATCATCAATTTTCAGCATTATTAGCTACGATAAAGCTAATACAAAGCTTAATTAAAAAGCTAAAAAGGTAAAAAAGCGTAAATCAGATTTAAAAGCTGGAAAATGCTAATCCACGGAAATTTAAAATAAAATAAAATAAAATAATCATTTCAGTAATCGAAACGAAGCAATAAACACCACAAATGGCGACAGTACCCATAGTGGCGAACTTCCTCTCCAACTGTTCGATAACGGGAGCAACACCTCTGATCTGAGCACGGAGACTGACTGGAGATCTCCAATCAACGCCGTGACTCCATCGCGGAACGGAACAGCGGAGAGAGCGAGCGGCGGTGGAGAAGCTGAAAGATCGGTGGTTGATTAAAGAAGAAGGTGGAGGCGAAGTGAGAGTAGTCCTGAGAGAGGAAGAGAAAAGCCTTGCTCTGAGGAGAGCGGAAGAGGAGGATGAGGCCGTTCTATACATGACGATCGATGGAGACGATCGCGACGAAGATGCATGCACATATAAAGGCGCGATGGGAGGAGCCAGAAGAATTGGATTTTGCTTCGCTTGCTCAGGCGAAAGTCATCATGAGGAACGACGGAAAGAGGCGTGTGGAGTGTGGAGAGCAAACGTCAAATGTTAGGGCTGCGTGCTGCCGCTTTTTAGAATGGAGCTGAATAGTTCAATGGTGCGACTCCGAAATTGGGGGAATGGGGATTTTCCACGGTCAGGTCTACTGAAATGTCATTTGCATCCCCAATGGCATCCCCAATGGCATCCCCGAGCAGCTAAACTTGAGGAAGGTACGTAGATACACTGAGGCAGCATAAATGAAGAATGTAGTAGAACCTGGCGTCCCTAGTTATAATGTTTGAATTTAATGGATTGAGTCTTTTCGAATGTTACTAATTACTTAATTTTTTTTTTCATAATTCTTTATGTTAAAAAATAAATAAAAATGTAGTAATATTTTTTAGGGTTTTTTTAATGTAATAGTATAATTATTATATTTTTTTAGTAATTAAATAAAAATTAATTTGCACTTAGGACCAACTGGCAATCTGTCAACCTGAGGTGCATTTTCCCTCCCCATGAGTGGGTTTCGAGCCAGCTCCTTGACAATTAGTTTTAAAAAAAATAAAAATAAAATTTTAATTTATAAATAAAAAATTAAGTATAATTATTATATTTTTTTAGTAATTAAATAAA